TTGATTCCTGTAAAAGGGATCTTATGTCCCTATTTCCCTCCCTAGAATGGAGATGCCAACTCATGGTCCTTATGAAATTATTATAAACTTGCAGCTTTTCTTTTTCTTAGGATTATTATCGCTAAGCATGAAAAGGGCAATGTTGGTTCTAGAATGATTTAGGATTTCATTGAGAACCACAAAAGGGGCACGGATATGAGTATAAATAATAATGTTATGGTTATTAAATCATATAATATTATTTGAAAAGTATTAATTTAATTTAATTTAATTGATAAAAATAATAAATAATTATAATTATTAATTAAAATAGATAAAACAATTATGATTTATTAATTAATAAATTAAAATCAATTAATAATTTAATATTTTTATACACTATTAAAAAAACTTAAAATTTTAATATTTTCAACAATTTTAATTATTACAATAACCACACCCAGAAGAAAGGACTTGGGTGGTTGTCCTTGATACAAGTACAACACTAAATACCCATGATATGGGGCCGGGAGTATTGCAAGTAGTTGCATCCAAATGAAATTGTGGTTGGGGATTTATGTGCTCTTTCTGCACCTCTTTTGATCCATTTATTACGCCTCATTTTGCCTATTAATGTTTCATAATTTCTATGTCGCACAGATAAATGTTCGTTCTATTATGATGAATTTGTATTTGGTACAAGTTAATTATGCAATTTGAATCTATATATGAGTCCATCAAAATAAATGAAAAGCCTGAAAGAATTTAAAATACTAGTGTCAAACACGATTTCGAGTTATCATGTAAGTTTTACACTGTTAAACATTCATGAATGGGTGGTTATATGCTGCATTTAATCATCAAATTAAGTTCTTTTCGTAGATTCCAAATTCTCCAATCTAACTTTTTTGTGAGATTACATTATATTTGCATAAAATAACTTGGTAGATTAGTTAACTTAAAGAAACCGGCCGGCAAAAAAACAAGACACACAAAAGGGAGAGCAAGATTTAGGGGATTAGATTAGATTTTGAAATCGCAAAAGGTATCCATGTCCAGGCAGAAATCACCTTTAAATGTTAATTTGACACTACCCCATGATTAAAAAGGTGTAATCTTTCTCTTTATTTCTTTACCCTAGCCTTTTTATGTCAC